CACCAGAAGAGGATCTACATCTATCAGCAGAGACACCCTTAGGGCAGGGTGCACAAATGATTCACAGCTGTCTCTTTGCACAGTTCTGAGGTGCCTGGGAATTCCCACCAGGGTGGTCACTGGCTTTACCTGGGCTCACAACACCAAGAGCAGCCTGAGTGTGGATGAGTACTACGATGAGGATGGGACGCTGCTGACACAGGACAAGAGTGCTCGTGTCTGGTAAGAACACATGGCAGGGCCCCAGCAAGGATTTGAGACAATACTTGGATGTGGGAAATGAAACCCAGGGGAAAGGAAAGAGGTAAAACAGCTGCAAGGAGGTGACAGGAGACAGCTCAGCTGAGATCCTGTCTGCAGGATCTGCTCTTGATAAACTCTAGAGTTCCCTCTTTCTAGAGCCCAAAAAGGAAGAATGATAGCCCAGTCCAGCTGCAGAAACTCCACTTGTTTCTCCACACACTGCTCTTCTCAATGTGAACTGAACTCCTTCAAGGGAGCATTAACCAGCTGTGGTTTGGCAAAGGCTTTACTGCACATCAGGGCTCAGTCCCTGGATATAAGCTCATGCTGTTGCCTCTTGCAGGACCTTCCACGTTTGGAATGAATGCTGGATGGCTCGCTCAGACTTGCTGCCAGAGTACAGTGGGTGGCAGGCACTGGATGCCACCTGCCAGGAAAAAAGCAAGGGTAAGATATCAGAGTAAAGGTAAGATATCAGAGATGGGCTTGAGCAAGAGCAGGGGGGAAGTGAAGCAGGGGCAAATAAAGCCATTCAATATTCCTCCTTTCCCATCTTCCAGGGGAAAGATGCAAAAAGACAGGAACTCACTCACCCTCTTGACTTTAGGCACAAAACTATCATTTATCTGTTTGGATTGTGCAGCTCATGTACCTCTATCACTGCTTCTTAATGGCCTCCTAAACTAGATATTTCACCAGTAAAGGTCAAAACTGGGGATGGGTTTAGTTGGGAATGCATCTGAATCTTAACTGGACCACATTTTCTCTTCAGGTGTATCCTTCTGTGGGCCAGCCCCTCTTCATGCCATCAAGGAAGGGGACACACAGGTTGATTATGATGTCTGCTGCTTCTTTGCTGCCATCAATGCCAAGTGTCATGTGTGGATACACAAAGCAGATGACACCCTCAAGCCAGCTTTTGGTGGCACAAAATACACTGGTAACAACATCAGCACCAAGAGTGTGGGCAGCGAGCGCTGTGAGGACATCACACAAAACTACAAATATCCTGAAGGTATGGGCAGGCACAGGCTGAGCACATTCCTTGTCACTATTACAAGTCAGGAGTAAAAGACCAGAGCAGAGCCAAACCAGAGCACCAGGGTCAGCCACTTCTCACTACTTCCCCTTCTTCAGTGGCACTAGAACACCTGATTCTCTCTGTCTACAGAGCCAAAGCAGAGCTCATCACCCAAACTTCACCCTGCTTAATGGCATTAAGGTCTGTGGAAGACCAGGTGTTTGTACACCAGGCACTTTCATGTCTGGAATAGCTTTTCTGATTTCTGTTATCTCTACACTCTGTACATCCACCTCCCATTACCTCTGTAATATTTATATGGATAGGCATATTTCAGAGTCCAGCTTTCTGAAAAGGGCTGTTGTGCTCTCAGATCCTGCCTAAATCTCTCCCTTAACAAGCAGCTCCCCTTCAGAATCTGAGTGCTGTTTCCCTGGCTCAACCATAACACCCCATCTTCACCTGTGGCTTGTTTCTCCATGGCTGCAGGAGACAACTGCAACTTCTCCACACATGAGAGCAGAAACTGTGCCTTAGCTACAGCAGAAAAAAGCAGCTGCCTCCTCTACTCTGAGATGTTAGCACCAAGGTGTGTTAAAAACTGTGACAGCTATTGCTAAGTAGAATCTGTCAGGCACATCCAATGAATATCCTGACAGCTGAAGCTTTCAAACTGACCCAACCAGACACACAAAAGGATATCTCTCCATGCTCTTAGAAACAGTTATCTTCAGAACTACCAGGAGAAATCAATGCCATTCTCCTGCTGCTTCTCACTAGTAAACAGGAAAGAGAACCAAAGTATGTGCTTCCTTTTTTTTTGTGACAGGTTCTCTCCAGGAAAAACAAGTCCTTGACAAAGCCTATAGAAACATGAAGGAACTTGAGACAACCAGCAGCATGAGCAGCACACAGTTTATCTTCTTTCCTACTGCTCTGGAAGAGCCAGTCAACCTTTTCATCCACTTCCAGTCAAGTTCTTTGCAACTGGGACAAGATATGACACTTTCCATTGAAGTGTTCAACCACACTGATAGAGAAAAGGCTACTCATCTGGTAGTTGGGATCCAGGCTCTGCATTACAATGGTGTGCCCATTGCCCAGCTTTGGAAGGAAGAGTTTCATTTTAACCTCCACAGCAATTCAGGTAAGGACTCTCCTGGCTGCATGGCTAGCAAAGTCCTCTAGTGCTCTCATTTCAGAAAAGTTCCCCCAGCCCTAGGTTTACAAAAGGTTGGCTGAATAGTTGATTCTAGGTGATTTCTCAGAGAGATTGTGGAGTCTCCCTAATGGGAGATATTCCAGAATTGACTGGACACAATCCTGTGCCCTGGGGTGACCCTGCTTGGGCAGGGAGGCTGCACCAGATAATCCACTACTGTCCATTCCAACCTCACCCATCCTGTGAAATAAAGCACTTTGGCAACATCACCTTAGAGATTTCCAATCTGCAAATCCACTTGGGGTCACATTTAAATGCTGCAGGTTTTAGTACAACGCTGGGCACTGAACACTCCCAGGTATCAAGCAGGGACAGACCAGGCTGCACTTATCACCTCTTGCTTCACCCCTCTGTTCCAGTCAATAACTTGAAGGTGTCTGTGCCTTACACGTGGTTTGGAAAAGAGCTGGGAGAGAATCACCTGCTCAGGCTGACTGCTGTGCTCAGAGACGAGGACTCCTCCTTCATGTACCTGGCACAGGAAGAAATCAGCATTTCTGATTCCCCTCTCACCATTGAGGTACGATGGGGCTGCCATTCTGCCTCTGCAGTGGGGAGAAAACAGCTTTTGTAGTCATAAGTAGCAAAACAATTCTGCTGGGTTCAGGGGCTCTCTGAGAAGGCAGAACAGAAGAAATTATAATAAAATTAAATAAGCTGGACTTTGCCTCTTCTAGCAAATGGCACCTCAGGCACGGGAAAAAAAAACACACATCTCCCTTTAATTATAGAAGAATATATTTTCTTCTCTCAGTTTCAGCTCATTTGCTTCTTTCAACAGTTCCCAGAAAACGTGGTGCAGTATGAGCCAAGCACAGCAAGGATCAGCCTCCAGAACCCCCTCATGGAGCCCCTGGAGCAGTGTGTGGTAGCAGTCACAGGGCGAGGGCTCATTTACAGACACAGGAATTACAGGTAAGTGCAAACTGATGATCCAAGAACAGCAAATGGAAAAAAGAGACACAATACAAGCAAAGGAAAGGCTGTCCTCAAAAATAACCAGGCAACAACATGGCAGGAAAATATCACTATGGCATAAAAGGCCCAAGCATCTCATCCTTTATTTACAGATAATACAGATGATTTTCACGCTGAAAAGGAGAAAAGCCAGCTAAGAGAACTTTCAACAGATGTGTAATACCCAAGTTGAAGCCAATGTGGCTTTTGTGAAAGCTTCAACATCAAAGGCATAGACAGCAAAAGGAAAACCTCATACCAACAAAAAGGATAACAGAAATGCCCCAAGACTTAGTGAGAAATACACATGAAATAAGGCAAAGTTAGAGGTCACTGAAATGAGCTAAGAAATTTAGAAACTATTTGTTGTTGAGAAATCAATTACTTTCTAGTGAGCATTCCATCCATTACCCACTATAAACAATGAACAGTGGTGGTTTTCCCTTCTCTACTGAAGAACCAGGCAGATGTGACTTAGCCAAGAGCCACCAAAGGGGCATGCTCCCCTTCACTTGACAAACACCCCACATTTGTCCCAAGAAGCTGCATTAGGACAAAGTCCCCTTAGATGTCTCAATGGAAGGTTTCAATTCTCCTGTCCTATCTCCCTCCCAAACTACTCTTAGATGACAATTTCACTGTAGTTGTTTGAGTCACTGCCAGCTTTCTTCTATTTCTTGTTTTTCCTTTCCTTCTTTTTGGCACCACATTCCTGTCCAGCTAATGCATATCCCAGACACAGGAAACTAAAACCACCAAGAGGGCGATTGCTGTATAATCCCTTCTCTCCTTTCAGGCTGGGCTCTGTGCAAGCTAAAAGCACTCAAGAGCTGGAAATCCCATTCACCCCCACCCGAGCAGGGCCCAGGAGACTCACTGCACGTCTTACCTGCCTCCAGCTCCACAACCTGAAGAGCTACAGAACAACCAGCATTGCAGCTGCCTGAGGCCAGCTCAGAACAGGTCCTCACCAAAGAGGGGCTGTGATCTGTGCCCTGGTCACGGGCAAGCACAGATGTTAACAGTTTAATAAAAGCTCTATTTAAAACCATGTCTGATTTTGATTATTTGCACAAACTCAACTCTCTCCCATCTGCCACTATGTCTACTCTGCAGTTTTAGAAGTGAGCCTCACTGTGACAAAGATGGGCTAAATGCTGAAGGAGACATTGCAGTTCTCACACCTGTGCTGAGCCCACCAGTGCTTAAGTCTTCTGCCCTACCTGTGACAAGTAAAGGGTATCCTGGAACTTTAAAGTGATGATAGATGCAGGATGTCTTTCTCTCTCTCTCTCTCTCTATATATATATATATAGGGATATCTCTCCCTGTAGATCCTTGACATTGGTAAGGTAGTAAACAATATCTTCTGCTGCTTTCTGAGAAAATAAGAGAAAGCTCATTCACTGCTCTCTAAGACAGTGAGCAGGAAATAGACAGGAAATAGCAGCAGTGCAGAACATTTATAATCATTCACTGGGCTGCTTGCAAAAGAAGCAAGACCCTTTCATTCTGTATATATCCTTCGTCCTCTGAAGACAGATAAAGCAACTAATGTAAATCTAGCAATATTTTATTTTTTTCTGAACCCCACAGTAGCTGTAATGTCCAAAGAATGGGGCACGTTCAGAAGCAGCACTGCATCATCCCAAGAATCCAAGCAAAATGACACCTTTGCCATGGCAAAGGGCAACTTCCTGGAGAGGTTCTTCCAAGTAGCAGTGAAGTTCTCTCCTCCATTGTTCTCATCATTTTCCAAACAGCCAAAGAACAGCAAAGTTCACTGGAAATGCAGATGCCAGAGCCAGTGGCAGCAGCACATGCAGGCACAGAAGAGTTAAAGCTGACCCTGTGTGAAGTTCTTGACTTTGTTCATGTTGTGATCTACTGCACCAGTTAGAAACTGCACCCAGCCTTCCTCTGATGGTGGACACACATGGCTTGTCCTGCAAAAGGGGAGGAAATTCATTAGGGAAGCCTCCTGGTGTGCTATGCATCCAGACACAGGGGTACTGTGAAGCTCTGAATAACCAGCAGTAAAACAGGGCTGCTCCAGCCCCAGAGGGCTTTGAGCAAGAACCCACACTCATGTCTGCACTCCCAAACCCAAAACAAGGAACCACTATCATCCCTAGCACCTTTTTCTTATTCCCATCCCTTTGTGACTAGATAACAACATCATTGCTCTGAAATGCCAGCATCTACTGTCTAGAAATGAGTCATCTTTGACATGAGGCACAAAGGTATCAACCTTCATAGCAGGGAACACACAAAACTGTAGCTCATACTCACTTGGCAATCTCTAAGACTTTCGTTAATACTGAGGCCAATTTAGCAGCCTAGGAAGAAACAAAAGGGAAATAAGGTGAGGCAAATGAGAGGAAAAGGAGGGTCTGAACACTAGTGGAAACTAAAGAGGACCATAGGGATGCACAAAAGCCTTAAGTATCCTTAAGAGTTATAGACGCAGTATGTGTGTCCACCTGAAGGAAGTGTGCAAGAACAAAGGGCACTCTTCATCACTAAGAAATTATTACTGAGGCAGTCACTAGCACCCATCTCTCCCTGAAGTCACCTAAGCCTTCCAATCTGATTTCTTCCCATTCCCTGTGCAGACGCTCAGACACTGAGCTATCAGGACTGCAGATACTCACGTTTAGTCGCACAGCCAGTGGGTTCACAGGTGGGTACATGCTCAGTGCCAGCTCATCAACACTGGAACAGAAAAGAGGGGAGCAAGGAAGGAATGTTCTGATAGCACAACTCACAGACCCTCATCAAAGCCTCCCCCAATCCTGAATGCAGGTCAGGAACAACAGTGAGATGTCAGCTGTACCTATGGGATGCTGTGTGTCCCTGTCACCATGGAGTGAGATGTGGTCACAGCTCCATCCCCTGTGCTTCTCTCCTGACCTACACAACTCTCAACAGCTTGACAGCCTTCCCACCACATGTGTGTCCACCACCTCCTCACAGCTCCAGTTCTTCCTACTCCTCACTCAAGACATCAAAGAAAGACCAGAACTGCTCTGGAGGGAAAAGCAGCATGGGGAGAACCCTGCTTACCTTGGGCTGATCTCATTAGCAATGTCTGCTAGGTCATCCAGCTGTGCAATGTGCTCTGGAGAATCAGCTTTGCCATGGGCCTTCACTGCAGCCAAAACCTTCTTCAGGCAAGCTTTAGAAGCCTTCATCAGTCCCATGCAGGAGCTGAGCAGCTGCCTGTCAGCCTCTGACCAGTACGTGTCCCTGTTGCCCCGAAAGCCCAGCTCCTCATCTTCCATGATGTCCCCATAGGGATCCTGCCCTTCCACCAGTGCCTGAGAACACAGAGGCACTGAAAACCCAGAGCCTGGCATCAATTCCAGTAACACCCAGGAGCAAAGGGAAAGCATAATCTAGACATCATATAAATAACTAACAATCTAGACATCATATAAATAATTAATGGAGAAATCACAGTTCGTTAATGCTAAAATGACTGGATTAAGAAAAACCACCACTCTAACAGTGCAAACAGCAAGAACTTGGTGACTACTTACATGATGCTAAATTGCCTCCCCCGTTCCCAATTCAGGACATACCTTTATGAAAATCTTATACAAAGTAAACCAGGCTTGAGAATAAAAACTCATTAAAATCCATGCATAAAACAATAATCTATGTCATGTCAGAGCAAATTGATATTAAAGCCTGGATGTAAAATAATTTCTGTGTTTCATCACTGAACCAGCCTAGAGGGTGGCTGGGCACTGGAACAGGCTCCCCAGGGAAGTGGTCACAGCCCCAAACCTGCCAGAGTTCAAGGAGCCTTTGGACAACTCTCAGGCACATGGTGGGATTGTCTGGATTGTCCTGAGCAGGGCCAGGAGCTGGACTTGATGATCCTTGTGCATCCCTTCCAACTGAGAATATTCTGAGTCTATGAATCCACCACTGCATGTCCCTCTAAGGCTTAGGGGCTTCCTTACCTGTTCCATCTCCTCCACAGCATCCTTGACCACACCTAGAGATGCAGCCAGAGCCGACACAACTGCTGCCTGGTTATCTGCAAAAGCAAAAGGATGAAAACTGTGGCACTCCATGTTTCAAATATGTTTGCAACAACCTCCATCTAGGCTTGCAATCTCTGTAGGATCAAACTTCCTGCAGAGCTCAGAGCTGCACTGTTGTCAGACAAAGAATCTGACCTGATTTCCAAGCTTATACATTTCAAAACCCATCAAGTTTTTGAGTTATTCTCCATTCAGCTTTCATTGTACCAGCTGGAATGCCCTTGCAAAAGCTATTGATATTCCAAGACAATACATCCTGGAGCTGTTGGTCTGCATTTACACCACTCACCTCGTGGCAGGTTAGACACTTGCTCACAGGCCTCCCACACACCTCCAGTTGATATCAGCTGTTCCTGAGACAAACTGAAACAAAACAAAACAAACCCCGCAAGGTCAGAGTCAATAACAACACTGTGCTAGACTGTGGTTTGTTTCATTTTCTGCAACAAAGATGATAAACACCAGCAAAAGTTCTGCTGCAAAGATGTCACCAACCAGCTTGTCACTAGGATGCCAAGTCTTTGTAAAGCCCTTACTGCCTCCTAACAAGTATACTTGTAAGTTTTTCTTGCCTTTTAATCACAATTATCAAAAAATCACAGAACTATGCAATTGAAAATGACAACCTCTCCACTGGGGCATTGAGAATTGTGTCTGTGAGCTGGATCATCCCTTCCACTACTTCAGTGGTGGCATCTCGAACCATCTTCCGAAGAGTAGTACCTGGGTGCGACAGAGAAAGAAAAAGAAAGTTGGCACAAAGTCAGCACTGACAGAGAGCAAGTGCTGAAGATGCTCTGTTTGTGTGGATACACTGTATAAATGAAGTTACATGTATTTTGAAGAAAGGAAAATGCTTCCCAGCTCCAAAAGAACTCTGGACAAGGATTTCATTCTTTTCAATGCTCAATCAACTACACAATTTCCTACATCATCATTCTCCCACATATGGAAAAGTGCAGCAGCAGACAGACAATACCTCACTCATAAACATGTTCAAAGTCTACAGAACAGCTGATAATGGGATACCATGCTAATAAAAACTTGCTGATACCAGACCTCATTAGGCTCTGAAACACTGGGTTTCTCTATATAGTGGTGGTGAAAGAACCCCCATCCCATACAGTGGTGACTGCCCTGCTGTCACCAGCTCACCTTGGCCCTTGGGCAGCCAGTAGTACACTGTGGCAACTGCAAGAATGGCATTTTGGACATCCTCACTCAGCTTCCGGCAGTTCTGAAAACAGAGAGGCAAAAGGATCACCCAGAGTAACACCCAGCTGCAGCACATGTAGGAATCCTCACGGGCAATCGCTGGCTTTCAGACTGCTCTGAGTAAACAAATACAGCACAAGAAAAAGGCACCATAAGCCAACTGTATGCATCTTAGCCTGCCTCATGATTTAGTAACAAAACACTCCCTGGTGTGGTGCTCATGCATCAGAAAAGAATTAGGAAGAAAGAATCATTATTCTGAACTTAAGGTCTTTTTTTGCCTTTCCTCTCAACACCTGTATGATAAACTTTTCTCAACTGATAGCAAAAATATTGCATATTCTTTGTTAAACCTAAGGTCTGTATTCTCCAATAATCTGTCTCTATCAGCAATGAGCTGTGGCTGTGAAAGAATATAAGAACATTTTTATTTAGTATATCTCCCTACCTTAGAGAAATTTGTTCTCTGGGCAGTTCTTGGATTATATTAATACACTCCACAGTACACAGCCCATTTAGTCAAATGAGCCAAGAAATACCTCAAGCTTGCAAACACACTGCAATTTCATAGTTTGTCAAGGCTTTCTCTCACCTCTGCAGAAGGTAGTGGAGGCCTTGAGAATGCCAGACTCAGCTTAGTAGCTTCCTGTGATGTTACTTGGAATGTCTGACCTAAAAAAAAAAATCCAACAGGAGCAAAAGAAGGGAAAGTAACTCAGGTAAAAGATAAAAGAACATAGCAGCAGCTCTGATTCGACTGTTTGTTTACCATTTCACCCAAGCAATACAAACATAAACTAAACCCCATTACAAAGAAAAACTCCCTGCTGCATTGCTTGTGTCCTGTCTGCTTTTTCTCAGTTGGCTGGTAATGAACCCCAGTCTGCATCCTGGTTCATGACCTGTTCAGCAGGATGTGCCAGGAGGCTTTAACAGAGACCTTTAGAAACCTTGTGTGAACGGTTCAATATCTGCCTTGCTCTGCCACACCTGGGAGCGTTTGGTGACCGGAGTTAGGGTGGTCAGGCACTGGAACGGGCTGGCCTGGGCGGTGGAGGAGTCACTAACTAGGGATGTTTAGGACGATCCAGGAGGCTGGATCTGGCACTGAGGTGGTTTATGGTTTACAGCTGGGTAAACGGTTAGCGGCTGGACTTGATGATCTTAAAGATCCCTCTCTTCCAACCCTGCCCATTCCGTGACTCCGTGAGTGGAGGGCACACCCCACACCTGGAGACCCGCGGGGAGGGCAGCCCTGCCCCGGACCGGCCCCGCGGGTACCCGGCACCCCCGAATCGCGGCCCGGCCCGGCCCGCCCGTACCTAGCGCGTCCCAGAAGCGCGGCAGCTCGAACGGCTCTCGGCCCTCGCTCGGCTCTCCCTCTGCAACGGTACAGACACAGATCAGCCCGCGGGGAGCCGGCCCGGCCCGGCTCGGCCCGACCCCCCTCCCGCTCCCGACTCCGCTCCCGCTCCCGGCCCCGCTCCCGGTCCCGGCCCGCACCTCGCAGCCGCGCCAGCACCGCCCGCAGCGCCCCGCGCACGTCCCGCAGCGGCTCCCGCGCCTCCATCGCTGCGGGGCGGCCCCGGAGCGCCACAGAGGCGCGTCACGTCCGCTCCGGGAGCGGCCCCGCCCCATAGAGACAGCCCCGCCCCATAGACAACCCCATAAAGGCCCCCCCCGCCCCATAGAGACAGCCCCGCCCCATAGACAACCCCATAGAGACAGCCCCGCCCCATTGAGACAGCCTCGCCCCATTGAGACAGCCTCACCTCATAGACAACCCCATAAAGACAGCCCCGCCCTATAGAGACAGCCTCGCCCCATAGACAACCCCATAAAGATAACCCCGCCCCATAGAGACAGCCCCACCCCATAGAGACAGCCCCACCCTACAGACAACCCATAGAGACAGCCCCTTAGAGACAGCCCCACCCCATAGAGACAGCCCCACCCCATAGAAACACCCCCACCCCATAGAGACAGCCCCATAGAGACAGCCCCACCCTACAGACAACCCATAGAGACAGCCCCTTAGAGACAGCCCCACCCCATAGAGACAGCCCTACCCCACAGAGACTGCCCAGCCGGGTTCATTTTATTAGTGACACACTTTATTAGTTAAGAACAAGCAAAGGGGGAAAGCAGTGGGGCTGTGCCCCTGTGTGTGTGTGTGTGCGGGAAAGAGCGAAGCTCACACTCTACATCAGCCGGCGCAGCTCCTCGAAGTTGAGCATGTTGTTGGCCACGTCGGACCAGGCCGCGTGGGTTGCCCCGTCCATCTCTGGGGCCAGGCGGTTGCTGCTCTCCAGGGTGTGGTTGGTGCCGCCGATGACTTCATGGCACTCAGGGCACCTACTCTTCTCCATTGCCCCCCCACACTCCCCAATTACATAGATGTGCCCATTTTTGCACTTGAACCAGTGGCCACGGGGACAGCCAATAGCACTGACAATCTGCACCCGCTCAGCTTCAGAAATCCCCAGCCCTGACATGGGCAAGCTAGCATTGATCTTCTTCAGGCTAGCCTTCACTGCAGCCTCATCCTCCTCTGTGAATTTCTTTGTCCCTTCCAGGATCTCTCGTGCACTGTTAATCTCTGCTGCGATGTCTGCGGGTATCACCCTACTTGCTGCTTTGCACCTTTCCAAGAGGCTCAGCAAGTAAGTCAGCCTCTGGATCTCAGACTGCAGGTCAGTGAGCTCCTGGTCTGTAAAACTGATGCGTGGCTTATCCAACCACTTCTGCACTTCATTCAGCCTCTTTATCAGCCATGTCTTTTCATTCTCATCGATTTTTTTCAGAGAATTAGTTAGGTCTGCTACACGTTTGTAAAAATTAAGCAAGTTCTCAATTAGTCCGATACTCTTTGTGGAGAGAGCTGAAGCTTTTAGTTTCTCTTCCAGCATGGCATACTTAGAGTATAGATTAGGTCTCAGAAAAAGATTTTGCACCAGCGCAGCCTGCAGCCTCTGTCTGTTAGACTCAATTTCCTCTGCCGGGCCTTGGATTTTCTGTTTCACCCGTTCTATCTCCTCCACCTGCCTTTTCACACTGCTGCCATATCTCAGATTCTTTCTGATGGGTGTCTGACACTGAGGGCATACCTTCAGCTTGACGACATCATCATCTTCATCCATGTAGTGGTCAAGGCCTTTCGACTCAAAGACATGGCCACAGTCTTCAAGCTGTACAAATCGAGCATCTGGGTCATCCTCAGAGCCAAAGAAGATCTGAGTGAGTTCCTCACGGTCACAAACAAGGCACTTCTTTGGGCAGGGCTCTCCACACAATCCAACACAGGGATGACCACAGGGCAGCATCTTAGCACAGGGAACATTGCAGCGAGGCCTGTTGCATGGCTCAGAGCAAAGCTTGGTGCACTGGTAGTGCTGGCACTGCCACTCACATGGCTCAGCACAAGGAACACAGCTTTCCCAACATTTCTTTTTGCACTTACTGTGAATACAGTAGTTCTGACATTCCTTCTGACAAGGAGGACATTCTGTAGTACAAGGCTCTTGACACTTGTGGGAACAGATCAAGACACGCTTGCATGGGCTTTTACATGCCTCATGAAATCTTCCTTCAAAGCAAGCATGACAGGAACCTGAACATGCATGACCACATGCCAGTGTGACAGAACACTTACTCTCACATTTCACAGGCTCCTCATGCCTCATCCTGGTCATCCAGCAAGGAACTTTCTGCTCGTGGCCACATTTCAGTGTGGCTGTAACCCGTTGAGGACACTTTATTGTGCATTGCTGCCCACAGGTACGCATGCACGTGTGTCCACAGTTTAACTTCTTCTGGCAAGGTTCTAGACAGTGAAATTTCCATTCTGGAATATGGCATGGCACCATCTGTACGTGGCCACACTTAGAAATAGTTTTCTTTACCTTCACCATACATTCTCCACAGGGCTCGTAACATGGCTTTGGGCAGCGGTGCCCATCTCCACAGAGCACCTTTTGACAAGGCTTCAGGCACTGGTACTCTTTGTGCTCAGGGTCATATGGGTGGCATGCCCTTGTGCAAGCATGGCCACAATTCAACCTAAACTCACAGGGACGAGTACAGCCTCCCTCTGGGACACTACTGAAGTCTTCACCTGTAGACACCTTTGTCTTGGTTCCAGGGTGGTTTTGACAGCAAAGCTCCAATGACTGGCCAATGTGACCATTCTTGCTAAGGGTTACAATGATCTTGTTCCAGAGAGGAACCTTGCCAAGCATTCTCATGTTTCCAATACAATAGAGGCCTTTCTTAGCTCTGGATAATGCCACACATATCCGATTAGGGATTTGCAAGAACCCAGGTCTCCCCTCTTTGTTGCTCCTCACCAATGACAGCAGAATAATATCATTCTCCTCTCCCTGGTACTTATCCACCACATGAACCTTCACACCTTCAAAGATCTTTGCTGGCATGAACCTACGCAGACAGAAGAGCTGTCCAGTGTAAGTAGTGAGAATGGTGATCTGAGAAGGTTCATAGCCCTGACACAAGAAATATTTGCACAGTTCCACTACAAAGTGGGCCTCATGTGGGTTCTGGTGGCTTTTCCCTTCCTGGATCTCTTGTTCAGGAACCTCATGTTCCACAAAGAAGATATTAGTTGAGACACCCTGAAACAAAAGGAAGGATGTCAGAGAGAGAATTCTAGTTTCTGTCACCCCAGAGTGTTTCCATGCTCCTGATTATCCACATCCAGGAGGACTTTTAAGGAATTGACTACAGTATGCAGTTACTGTGTACTTAGGAGATTTCCTCTTAGATTTCCATAGGTTATTAATCAAATTCTCATTTCAGCTTACTGGTAATATTTTAGTATCCTAATATGAAATCAGTTTCTGATTTTATTCCCTATCTTTCCAGAGATGTTTTTACTGTACATTTCTAGGTTATACCAAAGAAAACATGAAGTGTTAGTAACTTCTCAAAGCATACTCATGGTGTGAACAATGTCTTGTTTTGGCCCTGTAGGAGAAAGATACTAAGTTAGCAGTGCACAGGGCTGAGCACTTGCCTAAAACACACTTCCTCTGTTGTTGCAATAAAAACAAAGCAGCAAGGAAAATTTCTTCTTCAACAGAAAACACTAGGAATGCTAGGACTCCAGTAGTCACTTACCCCCTCATGGTGTGCAGAGTGGACTGCTCACCTGTTCAAAAACTCTACTTGCCTTGAGTTAGCAGGGGCTTTTACTTTTTTACCTATTAACTGGAATTATTCTACCCAAAAGAAATTATTGCTCTGCCTGCCAAAACCCAGAGACTGATTTTAACAGGAAAGAACAGCTTTTGTATATCAAACACAGATCTCTGGTTGTCCAAGGTAAGATTACAGAGAGATGACTGTTAATAGTTCAAAGATGCAAGAAAAGCACCAACCTAGAGATACATGAAGCCCTGGTAAGGGCTTCCTCATTTGTATTTCCTCATTTCATTACGGAAATTTAAATCAGAAAATGGGGAGTGAGTGTTAAGATGGATGCTCAGTATCATTAAGGAAGAAGCAAAGACTGACACTTCTGACTGATACCCAAGGCAAGCATTCTAATAACTTACTAAATTCTGGCTGTTTATTGAGCATGTTAGATAATAAATGATGACTTTATACTTGTAAGCTGCATAGATCTTCTTTGCAATGTTGTGCATTGGCAGAATGCCCAAACGGAGAGTCTAAGGAAAAAGAGTTCCAGTAATCCTGTCACCCATTTTATGTTGGAGTTTCAATATTATCCTCTAAATCTTTCATTTAAGATTTCTTCCTAGCTTTCAAACTCCTACAATTTGTTTGTTCCTCCTTCCATTTTTACTGTTCTTTTAAAGTCATTGGTATTGGATCTATTTCCACCGTCCACCATTACTAATGCCAGAAGAACTACAAATTACTTATGTAATTCTATATTGCACAATTCCTTGATTCAGGTATAAATTTCAATAAGTGAATTTGACCTAAGAATTTGAAATCCTTGAACACTGTAGTTTACAGAAACTCATTTAGCCAGTAACAGGGGACAAAAGCAACCCCCTGGACTGCTGAAAACTCACTTTTATATTCTCATATTCCAGGACAGAAGGATGGTTCTCCAGATTCTGGTATATATGAGGACTGATAAGCTGGGCAATTTCAGGGCGCATGCGGTGCTGAAACACAAAACAATTTTATCAGTCTTATGAAAGGAGAACCATATTTCCCTGTCAATATTCTTTTGCTCCACCGTACAGACAGCGGCTGAATAGAAGACAAGGATGACTTTTCAATAAGAGACAAGAAGGGAGCACTTCCCAATCCCTGCTCTCCCTCACCCCATAGCTGACACCACCAACAACTGCAGGAGAGTAGCAGAGCATCTTCAAAGAGCAGCAGAAAATCTCTTGATAAGGTTGTTGCACAGTAATGCTGGCTTCAGTGCAAATCTAGGCACACTTATAGATAACAAAAGGCAGTACATCACCCTAACTACTAAATGAGCTCTTTCAAGTACCTTTAACACAGGACTGCTGGTGGTAGAATTAACTTCCCCAGGCACCAAGATAGATTATTATAGCAATTTAGCTGGAAGCATCCTGAGAAGAATTGTGCTGTCTCACTCTGCAAAGCTATGGAAGTTTCAGTTGCCACAATAAAC